CACACACACACACACACACACACACACACACGAGAAATGGCATAAACAAGTGACCTTAACCTACCGTTCATGGAAAAGTGAGCGCTGGCGTAGGTCACAAACATCAGGAGGACAGAACAGACTTTGATGTGGTATTCCCCCATGATTAGGCCTGTTGGAGTAATTGTGTTGTCCACAGTAATAGCAAAAGGTGGGAGCATACTGGTCCTGGAGTCTTTTAAAAAATAAAAGGCTAATCATACTTTTGTATTAGAGGCGGACTTGTACGGACTATACGACCTGAATTTGTTTCCTAAGATATGAGACGTGGTCTCAATAAGGTTGTTTGTTTTGGTTTATATTGGATTGTATGTTTGTTGTTGTTGTTGTTGTTGTTGTTGTTGTTGTTGTTGTTGTTGTTGTTGTTGTTGTTTTTGGGTTGTCCTCGGGCTTATTGGCTTATTTTGTTTCCTGGTGCTGGTGGTAGGGATGCTTGATTTTTGGTTCCCTCTTTTGTTTTTATCTGACCTTCCTACATTTTCCTGCCACTAAATAAATCATGACTTGTCACGTCGACTCGTATCTGCTGCTGTCATTGTTATCATTGCTGCTGTTAATGAGGTTGATTTGGGGTTTGGGGTGGGGATGTATAATGAATACATTGTATTTCTGTAGAAATTTTTCACAATAGTGGATATTCTCGACGGCATCATCATTTTTCATTTATTGCTGATGTTACTTTATCATAATAACTAGGTTTCAGAACAAAGATTTTAGATTTCGAGATGATTTTTATTGATGTGAAAAGCCTTTGGCCTAAACATCCACATATTATAACACATCATATGTCTCGGAAAATACATCATTTGGTGCATAACAAAAGTATAGTGCGAGGTTCACGACTGGCAGGCAATTGTCTTGAATTTATCGCTTTGCATTTCCTTATGACTAGGTTGCGTAATATTAATATGCTCATCGCTTACGAAACAGAAACGATTATTACTCAATCAGTAAGTAAACGGTCAAGTCCTTTTTAAACTCACCGTGAAAGGTTAGCCAGGGAGCTGCCACTGTCTATCTGCACTGTTCACCGTCAAGGACAGCTTTTATATACACGAGTAGCCCCTTGACCCCCACGGTCAAGCGACAGAATAAATCCTTTGGCAGAACAAAAGTATTTCGATCTCTTTCTCTCATAGACCTCCCCTCCCCCTCTTCCGATTCAACACGAGAGTACCAAGCACTGAGAAATAAATATTAACGATACAAAAGAAAAGACTAGCGCTCCACCCTTCCCCCCGACCCCCTTTCCTACTCCTCCAGTTTCCTTTTCTTTCCCCTTTTTGTCCTTTTTGTCCTGAAGAGATAAAAAAAAGAAAAAGAAAAGAAAGACACCACCCCCCCCCCTAAAAAAAGGGAAAAAAAAGGTGGTAGAACGAGTAACAGTCGGGGAAGGCAGAACTGTGATACACTGGGAAGAAATCTCCAAAATGATAATTTCTTATTCATAAGACGGTCCCACGCTCCGCATGTCGTAACTTCCTAGTGGTTCCAAGCTCCTGGGATCGCCAAACAACGTCTCGTTGTCTCCAGCGACATGACCTGGGCCTCTTCCGTACCTGCGTGTACCGCCCCTCTGTCATGGTGGGGGTCACAGAGGCGTGTTCCCAGCTCGTTTGATTGACCGTGCTATCATCTAGCCATGGTTCAATGGAAATGATTGGGAATGTTTTCCTTACTCATAAGAATTGTTCGGATGGTTGGAAGGTGCCGCTGACAGGTTCTATTTTTTTACTGTCTGTCTGTCTGTCTGTCTGTCTGTCTGTCTGTCTGTCTGTCTGTCTGTCTGTCTGTCTGTCTGTCTGTCTGTCTGTCTGTCTGTCTTGTAATTCTCTACCACTAGGTGATCGTTAGTGTTGATGCACATTATTATTATGCACTTCTCTCACACAAAGAGGCTGTTGTATTTTATAACGATACAAAAGATTTGTGATTTGAAAAAAAAAGAAGAAACAAATGGAAACATCAGATCAAAAAGATTATGCAAAGAGTATTGCCTTAATGGTAATCGCTCTTCAGTTCC